CTCTCTCTCTCTCTCTCTTCATGTCACTCTTCAGCTGTCCTATCGATTAAAGCCCCCAAAACAGATCTGTATTTTAGTAATATATAAATATAATACATATCAGTGTTTGTTATGTTATGTTTAATTTAATTTAAAGAAGGTTTTTTTATATAATAATGTGAGAAATATATTGTGTATAGTTTATACAATTTTAGTAATTTGTAATAAAGTTGAATTAATATATTCTACATGGCTTTGCTTGTTGTGGTTTTGCGTATTTTATTTTGTTGTGCAGGGTTTGTACAGCCTGGAGATCAGACTCATGATCCTCACAGATTATCACAGATTTGTTTCAATGTGTCACGGACATGGTTACTATACAATATTTGGCATTCTCTCTGTCTTCACATCACAAGATTAAGTCACAGCATGAGAATAAACCTGTTCTTGTTTGTTTGTTTCTCTGCCCAAGCACTAAAAAATGCCAACAAGTTGAGGTAAAGGCTGAAGCTTGTAATGCAAGGAAGCATGGAATTAGTCTTGTTTCCTTTCTAACTCAAGTTTTTATCTCTCTCCCTTTCTGTTTGCAAGTTTCCTCCCTGGTGTCCACTTGGCCCAGCAAAGACATTCCTTTCATACATGTGGCAAGGTCACAACTATTTGCTCAATTAATAAATGGTTATGGTTTCTGGAACTTCTGCACGCTCACATGTACATTTAGGTTCTTAAGAGCGGTTACATTTTTCAAGCATAAGTTGAGGCAGATTTATATAATGCACATTTTAACTGGTGAGTTCAGTTTACAGACCTACTGAGAGAAGTAAAAAAGTAAACAACTTTTTTGAAAAAAGAATCTTAAAACCACAATGAAACAATGGAATTAATAAGCTGCAGATGCAGAAAGAAAATATTTCTTGGCATCCAGATGTGTGTATTAATGTTTTAATACAGAGTATCATCATGCTTATTATCACCTTTTATACTGTATTATCTTAAGCTTTCCTTGTTGTGATTTTGCACTTGATTCACATCACAGGGAGAGGCTGCATTTTCCTGTTTTTCTTTCCATAACTGATCCTATTTACATATTTCATCATGTTGTGCAGGACTTGTACAGCCTGGAGATCTGACTCATGATCTTAAATGAGAGAACTGTTTCAATGTGTATGTTTGTCATTGACATGGTTACTAGAAACATATGGTTACTGGGAGTTCTCCACCTCTGGGTTTCCCTCCCATCACACTCTTATGGAAACTTCTTCAGACTCTATGACAACCAGCTGGATCACATTTATTTGTGTGACAAGTACATGGGAGTTCCCTCTTAGTAACAATTTGACTCTGTTCCAACATGCCAAGCACTCAGCCATTTGTGGTTTTCCATGGCAATCTGTACAACACAACATACATACAGGCCTGCAAGTGTGAAAAGAAAAAGAAAATAATGACTCATAACTATCCAAACAAAGCCTCTCAGGCACTCCCCAAAATAAATCAGAACAATTGGAAGTTTTTTTGGACCTTTGTAGTATTGAAAGGATGATTAGTGATGTGTCTGCTAATATAAGCATACAGTGTAAAATTGGAAAATACTGTATAGAATAAGAATAAGAATAAGAATAAGAATAAAAATAAGAATAATATATGGGAATTACACATGTAAACATAATCTATTGTTATTTGACTGTGTCTGTTTTTGTGTTAATTTTGTTTTGTTGAATCACCCCCACCCTGAATGTTAAGGGTCCGTGAAACGCTGTAATAAATAAAGGGGACTGCGCCATCTACTGGTACAACATATCAGTAAGTGAAAAACATCAAGGTGACTGACTTTTTTGTCGTTTTTAATCATTAAACCATGTTTATTTATCCTCCCATAATTGTTTTAACTATGTCTTGTTTTCTCGCTTATTTTAATGAACTTTTAATTAATGTTTAAAGCATAATGCATTGTTGGACAAACTGCTGTCCACCCACCACCCTCTGCACAACACCTTCACCAGGCAGAGGAGTGTGTTCAGTGGCAGACTGCTGTCCCAGTCCAGCTCCACCAACAGACCCTCCAGCCAACACGACTCAAAAGACTCTTTCGTTCCCCCATCAGACTGTACAACAGCTCGTAGTAGAAGGGGCAGGGATGACAATAGGGATAGGATAGACAATGGACAATTGTCGTACCTGGGATTGCACTGTTTTACTTCCATTTGCACTCCACTGCCATTTGCAGCGGGTTACTTGTAGGCTAGCTTGTAAGGTTGGTATAGTAAATAGTATATATATATACTGTATATTTATTCTTTGTATTTTTATTTTAATTCTATTGCTTAAAGATAAGATAGATCATCAGATCAATCAATCAAGTCAAGGTCAAATCAATCATCAATCATGATCTATCTATCTTATCAGTATCTAGGCGTATTCTATCTATTCATTTAATTCTATCGTAATCTATCTACATTAAGTCGTATCTATCGTGTATCTATCTATCATTGTAAAGTCGGTGAGTATCCGGGTATCGGATCTATCGGGTAGGTCGGTATCGTATTCGTATGCTGAGTCTCATCGTATCGGGTAGGTCGGTATCGTATCCGATGTAATGCGTAGTCGTATCTGATCGGTATCTATCGTATCTATCGGTATCGTATCTCTAGAAGGGAGGCTCGCTGCGAGGGTGCGTACGTGCGTGCGGCGTCTGTGCCGACGGACAGTTGACGGAGAACGGCGCACGTAGCGTGGTCAGTAGTAAAATGGCGGGCTGCGGGGTGTTGGATTGGAGGCCCTGCCGCGGTCTTGGTAAAGTGTAAGGACAAAGAAAGATCCTGACTTCCACCTGTCTGCAGAATGAGGAAAGCTCTTACTCGGCGGGGCTGGCTTGTAATCCGGTGATTAAAGTCGCAGAGATCCGCACTCGTCACGCGAAAACACCCAGCTAGCACGCTAAGCTAACAGATGAAAGGGCAAGAAGCACTATCGCTAACGGAGCGTAGCTGGTAAACTTATGCCATCCTAGCTCGCAGATTTTTTTTTTGTTTGTGTTGCAGGACGTTTGAAGTTGGAATTTAATTTAGTTTTATTTTGTGGGCTCTTCGAAGCGTGCTCCGAGTTTCGTCGTGTTTTGTCGTTTCGCGACGGAGGAGGAATTTGAAAGGGCCGGAGCTGTGGCGGGGGGGACGCGCGGACTGGAAGCCCCTGGCTCCCAGGGCGAGCGGATCGGGAGCGCAGGACACGTCGGTCGTGGGTTGAGTTGAGCTGCAAGTTTAGACGGGAGTTGACCGGGGCAGCGTGGGTGGACAAGGCCGTGGGGACGCTGCGTCTTGCCAGGGCCTGGGAGGAGGGAGGCAGGAGGGAGCAGGGAGGGAGAGAGAGTTGATCTATTAGCTTTATGTAGTGGAACCCGATCCTGTGGAGCTGGAATCGGGATAGTTGGAGTCGGCTTCGAGAGAGGCCCCTCCAGATTGAGAGGATGTCGAGCAACAAAGTTGGCTCGGTGTGTGCAATCTGGAGCAAACACCAGACGTTGTAATGTTAAAGCCTGCTGTTCGGTTCAGCAAAGTGCTGGATGCACGTTGGGAGGGGGGTGGAGGTGGGAGGAGGTGGTGGGAGGGTGGAGGGGGGGCGATTTTTTGATGATGAGAAGGCCAGTGCAGTGGTGCAGTCTGGCAGAATAATCAGAGTGAGTATGTCCTGTATTTTGATCCCCCTGGTTCAGGGATGAATTCAGTTGACAGCAGCGAGCAATAGGGCAAAGTGTGCAAACAAAAGACGCAGAAGAATAAGAGAATTATCCATAAAATATTACTACTATGTATTATATTGTAGAAGATGATTAATAACTTTGGTATATTCAAAGTATATTACCAGCTGTGCATTGTTTGCAGTAGGGTAATAGTATAACAGAAAAGGAAGCTACAAAAACTGTATTTTAAACTATCTAAAGTGGAGATATAGTTACAGTATTGAAAGGCAAAGCTTGTGCGTTGTAGGAGTTTTAAACCAGTCTTTGTCTGGCGCGGGGGTTGGAGGTACTGGGTGTTAATGCAGCTCTGTAAACACTAATGTTTTTGTTTGTTTTTTTCCTGTCACGTTGTGTAGCGTGAAGTAAACAATGTGGCAAAGCGGGAATATGATAGTTGGTGAGCTCTTTGAGGTCTGTGTGTGAGGGTGTACTGAGAGGAGAGCTGTGCTTTTATCTGCTTTTTTCTAAAATGAATTAGAGTTGCTGAATCACGCGTAATATCGTAAAGTATTTTTTTACAGGCTTCTGTGTCGCAAAAGAGGAAATATATCTTTACACACTGATTGCTGCAAACATTATCATTTGCAGACTTAAAAACAGAAAACCCCCAAAAAGAATAAAGTGTCACGTTTGGATTATAAGTTAAAAGCAATTCAAGGCTGAAAGTGTTTTGGGGATATACGGGCTGCACGCTATTTCTTAAGAATTTCCAAGATTTCAAAATATAGTTCACTTATTTGGCTGCTTCTTCGATTTAATTCTTTGATGCAATCTTAAGAAGAGGAACTTTGTTTTTATGCTTCTTTAAATGGCCTTAAAGTCTGCTTTTTATCGACACATGATTTGTTGCCGAGATGCTTATTTCTATCCGCTATAAATATGTTAAAGAAACAGTTCTGCGATCCGAACGGCTGCAGATTTGATTCATCGCAACAGTTAGGACTGAACTTTGATTGCTGCTCTCCGGTAAAAGAAAACTCACATCCATCTTTGTGTCTCTGTTTGTGAAGGAGAGATCAGATTGGAACCATGGCTGAACTCTCCACCCTGTCCCCGTCGCCACCTGCACTGGGGGATCCTCACGCAGCTCCATCCATCCCTCCGTCCTCATCAGCGCTCCCAGCTCCCAACAGCCCCGCTCAAGAGTCTGCCGCGTCGATAGACATACCAAAGTCTTTCCTCTACAACGACAAAGCTTTGACCGGAAACTCTCCTGCGGC